GAGAAGAGAGGGGAGGGGAGAGACTTCATGCACTTCCCCACTCCCAGGCCAATCAGGATCTGTGGGAAGGAGCTTGAGCTGTCTCTTGACCCCACCCCCTCTGTCCCATACAGAAATGTATGAAGTGGCCGCCTTTTAAAAATTATTGCCCACCCCTGGTTTAAACTATGTGATGTTCTAATTTCTTTGAATACTAGTGACCCTCTTCACGGGAGGGGAGAGACTTCATGCACTTCCCCACTCCCAGGCCAATCAGGATCTGTGGGAAGGAGCTTGAGCTGTCTCTTGACCCCACCCCCTCTGTCCCATACAGAAATGTATGAAGTGGCCGCCTTTTAAAAATTATTGCCCACCCCTGGTTTAAACTATGTGATGTTCTAATTTCTTTGAATACTAGTGACCCTCTTCACACTATTCATTTTTGTGTGTACCTTCATCACATCATCTTTTATTCATCTTTCTTCTGGATAGTCCTAACCCTGTCAATCTCTCCTCCGATGGAAATCTTTCCAAATTAGGAAAGATAGTTCTTTCCCCTTCATTTTGCTAACACTAATATCAAGTTGTATTGTACAAGTTAAAAGGTGAAAATTAATTGGTTTAAATGCTAATCAAAACTCACCCCTAAAACCCCAAATCTTTCACAAAAGTTCCAACCACAGAGAAAGTCGATTTCAAAGTTGTGATTAAGGATTACGATGGCATTCTCTTTCCCATACTTGTGGTAACTTTCTGGGTCAGTGTAGAGGGTGCAATCAGTGCCTGACCACCATTCCAGCAACATCACCATCTCTGGAACAAACAACAAACAAACGTGAATATATAAAACACATATGTGCTCACAAATCACTTGTGATGGAAGCAATGCTTACCTCTTATGGGGTATAGCAAAAGAAATGACTGTAGCTCATCTAGGCTGAACCTTCAAGCATCAGTCACAAACTCAGACAGCTGGGCATAGAGTGGAGGCGCACCATTAGATGGAAGGTAAGTAGAATGACACTATAGTACACAAGTTCTTTCTTTTAAAAGCGTGTGGAAGGAAAGCAGGCATCTGCTTCCATTTTGTAGGGGCACCTTGCTTACAACCTACAAACACTGAAGGCTGGGGTCAATCAACTTTAAAAATCTAATCCTTCCAAGCCTAGCTAGTCGGTAAATGTAGATTTCCTTGTACATATTCAAAACAATTAAGACAATATTTCCAATCAATCTTCATCAAAATTTATAGACTGGCAAAGAAAAATGCTGCTGGAGAAGAAATGAAGTGGATTGAGGGATACTTTGTATATTTTGACATGATTTGACAATTTGCATTTTAAATGGTTATAAAGTTAACCTTTTGAATCTCAAATGTCTGTCATTAAATAATTGTCTGAACCTGACATTGTTTCTTTCTTTTATTTTTATGATTTTGATTAATATGGATATTTATTTGTGGTTTTATTCTATTTTAAAATTATTACAACTGTGGGAAATTCAGAGGGGAGAGTCAAACAAAGCTGGCCAAGTCTACCTATAGCACAGAGGGCCTGATTTCAGCAGCGTTTTTGGGGGTGCTCCGAGCATTGCTATATTAGGCTCAAACACTAGGGCTTTTCATCTCATCTGCAATATGAAAAATAGAATTGCTTATTCAATTATTTTGTACTAGGGTGTTCATAAGGCACCATTCATCATGGTGACTTACGATAGCTACCTCCTGGCCCTCTGCTTCTTTAGATACATAGAGGGAACCTCATATCCCATCAATGCCAACAAAACCTTGTTCGGTAACAGGCGGTTTCTGTGCCCACATGATGAAGCCTGTTCTTCTGTTCAGTCAGCAACATCAAGAGTGCTGGGCAGAGAGGCCAACAGGTGAGATTACAGCCACAGGATTTACCTTTTGAGTTGGGCTGGCTCAAATGCCCACAGCAAAAAAAAAAAATGAGTGATAATTGTCACTTCAATCACTTGCCCAGTTCTGCATGCGACAGCAATTGTGTTGCTCCCATCTGCAGCGGAGCCAGAGCACACTGTGGACATGGTCTTCCCCACTGCTGACAGACAGGCAGCACACCGTCCAACAGTACTAATACAGCACGGGGAGGGGCTAGCCAGCCAACATTTTAGCAGCTGCATGTCAAATATTCTAAGCACTGGAATGGCCCATCCCATGCAAGTACCCATTTCATAGAACCACTGCGAAACATTTTGCTGCCAGCTTCGTCTAAGATTGCACACACTGCTACTCTAACAGTAGCTTTCTCTGATGACGCCACTCCATGTATTTGGATCAAAATTAGGGACCCAAGCCACCTTTCACTGTAGTAAAATGGAAAGGCTCACTCTGAATTCAGTGGGAGTTGGATCAGGCCCTAGACAGGCAAATCAATAGTGTGTGATGGTGCAGATGAAGGGAAATAATGGGGAAGTGAAATTTAAATGGACACTGTCCAGTTACACTTTTGCAAATAAACTATATCTTCTACTTCACTAATGTATGTTATTAAAACTAAAAGCAATTCTTCAAATTGGCTTATGCTCTTGGTGTAAGTTTTTGAACTTCTCTCAGCCTGGACAATGAAAACGAGTCAGCTTCACTTCGATTTACAGCTAGTGTTTCATTCCAATAACCATGGAGAAACTTAACCCCACAATATGGGGCGTTGCAAACTCTGTAGAAATGTTTATGTGCAAACAAAAATTGGCTTCTTTATCAACATTGCTGTTAGGAGTAGTAACCACATTAAAGTAAACCAGTTCAAGTGTAATTTCAGCTGAAGTATATTCATCTTAAGGATTTGCTTTGGTACAAAAAGAATCAATTTAGTTACAGTGGTGGAAGTTTTCTACTATGGGCCTGAGGTAAAATTGTCAAGAGCACCTAAATCCCATTTTCAAAAAGTACTAAGTTCCACTGACTTTCAAAGAGACAGACTCATTAGCGTCTACATTAACTCTAATGTATTTAGGGATTTAGGTACTCGAAAATTTTAATAGAGCGAATAGATAAAGATTTGGTTTGAGAAAGAGGGTCATAATCAGAGGCATTGGAAAAGTGCATCAATTCAACCCCATGACAGTAACTTCGATACCTTTACATTCACAGTTTGTCTGCACTTTTCCAGTAAAGTACGATAGAGAGGTCTGATTTTTAAGCTCTACTAATGTGTTGTGCTATCTGCCCTGCATAGACCCTACTGGCAGGCTATAAAAAGGTATCTACATCACATGCTACACCAACTACATTAACACAGTGAGTGAATAGCACTAAGCGATCATCAGATATACATCTTGGAATTTGGCCCAGAGATGTATAAAAGCAGTGTATCTAAAAGCAGGAATCTATTTGCAAGCATCCAAAGTGAAGACTAGCGTTTGGATGTAAATAGAAAGGGACAACTATTTCCTTGTATATTGCTACAATCTAATGGTCCAATGTTGCTCACGCTGAACTCACTGCAGAGCTGCCTACTATCAGAGAGATATGGTGGGTCTCCTGATACTAGTGTTCTTTGTTAAGCCCATCCTGCCAGAAGACTGCATGAGAATCTCAACATATATTTTTTAAAATGTCTAGCTCTCCTGGTTGCGGAAAACTTGAAAATGTGACATGAGTGTACCCCAAAGCAGCGATAGGCCACCAAAAATAGTGAGCCCTGAGATGCCCTTCTTCAACCTTAGTTGGCCAAAGCAAGCCACCGCCCTCCGGGGTTCCACCTGCAGCCGCCTGGTCCCGTCTGCTACCCTCCCATACATGTCTCGCACGCACTGGGCACCATAGTCCCACACCTCCTCCCTCCACCCACCTTCGGAGCACATGAACCACCTGGGAGGGAATGTGGAGGCACAAGAGTGCGGGACTCTGAGACACAAAAGTGTGTGAAGGAGGGTAGCAGACAGGGGGTCTCCGGGTCACAGGTGGAGCCGCAGTGGGCTGTATGCAGCCTGCCCACCACTGCCCTAAAGTCTCAGAAACTAAAAGACAAATAGAACCACAACATTTACCCACTTGTAGTGTTTCAGTTTTGATCGCTTGGGATTGGCAATATACTCTGAAAGGAAAAATTATTGTTGTGACTACTTTCTTCCACTATTTGATCTGAGGAAGTGGGTCTGGCCCACGAAAGCTCATCATCTAATAAACCATCTTGTTAGTCTTTAAAGTGCTACGTTGTCCTGCATTTTGCTTCAGCTACCCCAGACTAACACGGCTACATTTCTATCATTGTTGACATCAGTGGGAGACCTAGATTCCTATGCTGGTATTTTCCCCCAGGAACAGATGCTATCTAAGAACAATTGTTAAGAACAGTGTGGAGTGGTTGTCAGGGAAACAAAGAAAGGAGATATTTGTATCAAGTTAAACAAAAACAACAAAGAGCAAACAAACACACACAACTAACCCCAGCTTGTATAGTACAAGAACATAAGAATGGCCATATTGGATCAGACCAAAGGTTCATCTCGGCCAGTACCCTGTCTTCCAACAGTGGCTAATGCCAGATGCCCCAGAGGTAATGAACAGAACCGGGCACTTTGAGTGATCCATCCTCATCATACAGTTCCCACTCCTGGAAGAGATTAGAATCTTGGCAGCCTTTGAAGTTTCAACACTTTTGAAATCTTTCCAATTGGTTTTCTAAAATCACTGACAACTAGGACAATCACGAACAAACACATTCCTTTTTCAGTTGGTAACTAATTGCCTGAAACTTTGTGATGACATCCTACTCAGAGAAGAAAATGCCACATTGGATGTTTAATAATGAACTCAGACTAATAGCATTCTCCATCCAGACAGCAATATCGTAACGTGGGAAGACTAGTTAGTGTTTTATAAAATTTGCTAGTGACTTGTGTTCCCCGCTTACTCATAACCAAAACATAACGTCCACCTCTGACCATTGCAACAAAAGTTAATGATCCATTTTCTTGTCCTTTTCTGACAGAGAAATAGTTATCACTGCAGATTGGGTTTGAAGCATGTTTATAGAATAAATGCTTCTACATGTTACTCTTTGGGAAATCATCTGTTTCCAACACAGATTGAACTATTTTATCTTAGTGCAAACGCTATGAAGATACACAAATGAGTAAAATAAATGTTAAAACCTCCAGAAATGTTCTGCTAAGAAAGTCTAAGAAAATCCTTCATTCCAATTCAAAATTCTGTATCTTTTGTAGTTTCCATTTTTATCTGAGTTTTGCTTGAAAGTAAAATATTAGAGAGAGAACTGAAACTAAAGCCTTAGTAATTTGATAGCATCTCCAAGATTATATAGCAAGGCAGAACAAAAAGAGGAAGGATTTTTTGTTTTATTTTGCTCAGCTTTAGGTCCAACTAATGAAAGGAAGAGTGGGGAAATCTGTCAATTCATTCTCTTATCTATTGCTACTAATGTCATTGCTTAAGTTTAATTTAAGCAATTCAAAGGAAACAGGAGATCGGGTATGAGGCACTCCAAACAAACTACATTTTATCCAGAATCACAGAACTGGAAAGTACCTTGAGATGTCAAGTCCAGTCCCCTACACTTATGGCAGGACCAAGTACCATCTACACCAGGTAGAGGCAAAAATACAGCCCATGGGCCAAATACAGCCCACCAAACCCTCAGCCAGGGCCCCTGCCCCACACACTGCTCAGAGAAGCTCTGAATGCTGCGAGCCCAGGAGGAAGAGGCTTTGTGTGCTGCTCCTGCTCCCAGACAATGTCACAGCTTCCATTGGTTGGTTTCTGGCCAATGGGAGCTGACTGTTTGCAGGGCAGACAGCAAGCAAGATACCCCTCCCCCTCCTGGCTT